CTCTCAGGAATATTTGAGATAGTGACTTCAAATATAGCTAAAAGGACTATGTCCCCTGTGTAGAACATAATTTTGGGGAGCACCTGGGGATGATGAGGGGTGCCTGCGTGGCACAGTTGGTTAAGAATCTTACTTTGGCTCAGGTCATGATCTCATGGTTTATGAGTTGAAACCCCACCTCGGGCTCTCTGCTGTCAGTACAGAGCCCACTTTGGATCCTCTGTCCTCCTCTCTCTTTGCCTCTCCGCCACTTGTGTGCTCTCTCTCTCCCTCCCTCCCTCTCCATCTCTCCGTCTTTCCCTCTGAAAAATAAAAATGAATATTAAAAAAAAGTTTGGCATTGTTAAAAAAAAAAGATAATGCTTGAATATTATTTTTGATGTGATTAGACAGTAAATGTTTATAAAACCAGGGAAATTGACATCAGTTGATCATTAAATATATTTGTAGGGAATCTACAACCTTAATGATAATATTTATGTGTAATTTGCAAGTTTGCAAGTTTTATTTCCTTAGTTGTTATAAATGACCTTTTTATTTGCTTTGCTATTAATCTGTAAAAGGAGAAGAGTGTTTTTATATACCTGTTAATAATCTCCTAAGCAAGGATTTCGCCTTAAGCTTTGTCTCATTTCAGTTATGCCGAACCAAGGATCTAAGGAGTCCGTATTCCACGTCTTGTATTTCCTAGTAATGTGTGCATTTAGCAAACCTTGTTAAACCGTGTAAGTAAGTGTCCTCAAAGACTTACTCCTTTGAGTTATGCTGAAAGAGGTTTCTGAGCACCAGCTGCTGTCCAAGAAAATATTTGGCAAGGTTTTCTATTCTGAGAATTCCAGAACTATGCAGAGACAGTTCACAGTTACCCTCTGCCAGTGTCCTGTATTCCTATCCCCTGTGGGGTCTCTTTCCCCCACCTTTTAAAAAAATTTTTTTTAAATGTTTATTTATTTTTGAGAGAGAGAGACACACACACACAGTGTGCGTAGGGGAGGGGTAGAGAGAGGGAGACACAGAATCTGAAGCAGACTCCAGGCTCTGAGCCCGACGCAGGGCTCGAGCTCACAAACAGTGAGATCAGACCTGAGCCAAAGTCAGGGATGCTTAACTGACTAAGCGCCCCGGGGTCTCTTTCCTTTTGCTTCGGAATATGTTGCCTTTCTCTCTTAACTTCCGTTGTTTTCATTTGACTCTCCGGTCTCATGAAACTGCTACTGAATATTTTTACTTTTTAAAGAAAAAAAATTTTTTTAATGTTTATTCATTTTTGAGAGACACAGCGTGAGCAGGGGAGGGGCAGAGAGAGAGAGGGAGACACAGAATCCAAAGCGGGCTCCAGGCTCTGAGCTGTCAGCACAGAGCCTGACCTGGGGCTCGAACCCACAGATTGTGAGATCACGACCTGTGCTGAAGTCGGACACTTCACCGACTGAGCCACCCAGGTGCCCCAAATATTTTTACTTCTTAAATGAATGTAAACTGTCGTATTTTCCCCCTAATTCCTCGCATGTCCCTGCCTTCCTGCAGCCTGATTCCTTGTCCTTGCTGCACTCCTGGAGCAGCCTTCTCTCTGTCTTGCAACTGTCTGGTTTTGAAGTTTGGTTCATAATGTAACGTTTATATTAAACGTGCTTTTGCAAACTACACCTTTACTGCTGTCAGGTAATTGTCCAGGACCAATTCAGCGACCTGTTCCTGAACTCCCCTCTGCCATTTTTTTACTTTTAGAACTTTTGTGCTGCATTTACTAGGATTTAGAACTGTTTCGTTTTCTTGAAACCTTTTGTGCTCTGTGTCATTCTCCTCCTAATTTTTCTATTAACTTTCTGTTTTATATGTCTTCATGGCAACTCCTCTAACCGTGGATGTATCCCAGTAATTGGGTTTTTGGCCTCTTTTCTTTTGGTTCACTCTCATCTACAAGGAGAGAGAGCTTTTTGTTCTCTGTGTCTCTGTGGCTTACTCAGATTGGTATGTCAGCCTCTTATTACTGTCTTAAATCTTAAATCCTACTGGTTGTAAGACCTTTTTATTTTGTGACACCTAGTGAACGTAGCATTTTGAAAGCTGAATTCTGTTAGGATATTTATGTGATTGCGTGAATTAAAAACCCTGCTTTGCTTATGTGGGTGCTTCCAGGCCTGTCTCTGAGAAGAACCTGTAAATCGCTACTTTGGCCTTGCTCTTGCCTTCTGAATAAGTGAAGGAGGCTGAGGGGCAGCCGTGCCTGGGCCAGGGACAGTCGGCAGGAGGCTGGACTAGCACTGGACGCTCTGTTCCTGTTCTTGCTTGTCTCCTGCGTTCGTCTCTTGTGTCGAGCCTTGGGCCTGGGCCTTTACACCTGCCGGGTTCTGGTGACCAGTGTCTCCCTACCAGACTTGCTTCCTTTCCAAATGCCATCTTCCAAGGTTGACATTTGGGCCTTTAACCCTCACCAGATCGGGACTTCCATTTTCATTTTTTAGGTGTCTCTCAAGAAGTTCTCCAAAAGAAAGTAATGTGATGAAATGCATTTAAAAGGTACTGTGTTTTGTGCCGGAGATAGAATGGACAAGTCCCAACCTTAAAGTAGCATACAGGAAATACGGTGACATAAATAGTCAAAACTTAGATAGCGTGATAACCGTGGTGATGGAGGGTTATAAAGTTCCCTTTCTTACCTCACAGAATTGCTGTTAGGATCAAACGAAATATCACGAATTGTCCCTTTTTATCTGTGAAGTGCGACAGAAAGGTTGGTGGCCGGCGGGCGGCCTCTTCCGCCTTCTCTTCTGGGGAAAGGACAAGGGAAGGTTCAGCGCAGTCTGGTGCTTGGTTTCCCCACCGTGTTTCTCTGTGGTTCGTTGTATCCTACAAGCCGTTTCGGGTGAATCTTGCTTAACTGTGTTCTCGACGTTCCTTCACTACCGTTGAGATCTATTCCGTGTTAATGTTTCGTCTAGTGGCTGTAGTCTGTTCTCTGTCTGTAATGTAGGGCAGTAAAAAGCTTTATTTGGGAGTAAGGGCAGGATTTCAGCTTAGCTCCTAAGTCATATAGTAGGAGAGAGTATTGAATAGGATTTTAGTCACTGTGTTAACATTCAGCAAGAGCATTGGTGAACGATTGTTGTTGTGAAAATAGTTGTGTTCCTTGAGTCTGGAATCTTGGCAGGGTGGATGGGTGAGGAGGAATCTTTTTAATTTAAATTTTGAATTGCAAGTTGCATGTAAGTTTATAGTACAAACTGGCTGAAGTTTTATGCTACCTTAAATATGGTATACTGGTAACATGCTAGATTTTTTTTACACACTTTTTGTGAATGTTCCAATTTACAATAGTTGGTAGTAATAATAGGAAATAAAGTAACCAGATTCTCGACTGTGTAGTTTGCTTGGGGCTTAAGAATCTACTTTTTATTTATTTTTTATTTTTTTTAATGTTTATTCATCTGTGAGAGACAGAGATAGAGCATGAGCGGGTGAGGGGCAGAGAGCGAGGGAGACCAGAATCCAAAGCAGGCTCCAGGTTCTGCTTAAAGATTGAGCCACCCAGGCACCTCTGACTACACTTTAAGCTTTTTTTTTTTTTTAATGTTTATTTATTTTTGACAGAAAGAGACAGAGCATGAGCAGGGGAGGGGCAGAGAGAGAGGGAGACACAGAATCCAAAGCAGACTCCAGGCTCTGAGCCATCAGCACAGAGCCCGATGCGGGGCTGGAACTCACAAACCGCAAGATCATGACCAAAGCCCAAGTCGGACGCTTAACCGACTGAGCCACCCAGATGCCCCAGGAATCTACATTTTTAACACAGTGTTTCCAATTATGTGGTTCAACCGTAAATTACACGGAAACAAACTAGCCAGAATTGGAAGGCCATTGTTCAGAGTGGATTTCGAAAAGCCCTGGAGGGCAGGACCGTTTCCCTGAGTGTTTAATTTCCTCACTGAAAGAGAGTTATTGGAACCTATATAGAAAAGGATTTGGAATCTTTAAAGTCCAGAGTGGTTTACTTAATTCAGAATGCTAGGAAAATAATTTACAGTGCAGATGTCATGCCAGCCGATACCGTTTCAAGAAATTCACGTAGCAAAGAATAACTGATGGCATTTGGGAATGTGGAGGGGCGTTTTCAGTTGAGGGAGGCTATTTAGGCCTGAGGGCCGTGGACCCTTCTAGCTCCACATGCACAGAACCGCACGCGGGAACTGTTCTCCCGTGACGCCGGGACTGTTCCAGCTGCACATGACCTGATGGAGACTCAGTGTCCTCACGTCACAAGTGGTATGGAGGCAGGCCCCGCGTAGCCGGCGTGGGCTCCGTATTGTCCTCAGGGCTCTGGGCACCTCCTGTCCTCCTGCCTGCCGAGCTCGGGGTATCCCCTTCACCCTCACTGCCTCGCCTCCAGCGGAGGGAGCAGCAGGGCAGAGGTGGCAGGCACCTGCACGAGCCAAGCGGAGCTTAGGAACCCAACAGAAATCTACTCGGGTCTCAGCGGCCACAACCGCGATACCTGCTGACCCCTTTGCCGGCGATGCTGAGAAAAGTCGTTTCTAAATTGGGCATGCTGCCTTTCTCCGCCCCGTAAACCGAGGTTTTATGCTTACAGGAGAGGAGCCCACGGATATTGGGTAATCAGCTACCGGAAATGGCGTGTGCCGTAGTGATCAATAGATTTTTGAAAGACCCCAGGTCTGTGGCACTTTATCCTTCACTCCATGGTGTCACCAATTCCAGGGCGCGTGAATGGGGACCCATGCCCAGGAGGTCTCCTTCGGCACCCGTCAGCCTTGTCTTTCTGGTCTTCACGTTTCCTTGATGCTAATTAATAGCCAGCTGCTTTCTCAGAGGCGAAATGTAATGATTAATTTCCTTACTGATGTGTGTTTGTTCATATGGA